TGTATATTTAACACTATATCTAATATGCATTTGGTATCTTAGTCACTATGCCTGTTCACTATTTTTTTCCAGTGTACAAGCGTAAAAACACGTTATGTGTTCGCATTGCTCGCTCTCAATTGTTGACAAGACTAGAACAAGTTATCATCATCTTGTAACAAGATTGATGAGGACACGCAATAAGTTGTTCCAACAAGTCCGATATCCGTCTGCACGTAACAGGATGTTAACAAGTGCATGATTATAATATGTTTTCGTAAAGATTTTGTAACAACTTGCTAACATTTTGAGATGACTTTATGGCAAAATAATACGCAGGATTTTTTCGCAGTCTATATCAGTTATAAACTGTTCTCCTTATCCTTAAAGGTCTAGTTAGTCCCATCCTGCCCTGTATGACCTGTAGTTAAGAATTTCATTGAGAGCTTGTATAAAATTAATAAAGCATTTATGCTATTCAATATACAAGACCTATTTCATTATGCTATTGCCATGCGAGATAGAAATATTTTTAAAATTTCTTCCAAAACTGTTATAAATTTCGACCCCTTGCATGTTATTATTACTATTACTCTACAGTATAGGCAAGCGGTCCAATCTCCTCCCAATAGCTGTACATTATAATTATGTCCTTAATTATACATATATAAGCATACAATGAAATTACCATCACAAAATTCGTGGTCTCGCAGTAGGGCATGTCTTTTTTTAATAAACGACAATTGGCCATTCCGAAGTTGATGAGAGGACTGGGGACGAGTGTTAAATTAAGAAATGAACCAAATCACTAAAAAGACCACCTCACAATTAGTAAGTATACAAAGTTTGAAGACGTTTACATGAATACCCTTCGAATAATAAGCTTTCGAAATTCGCGATATTTACTAGGTCATGTCAGAGTATAATTTTTGGGTTTTGGGGGGCGCGCGTCCCATGCAAAAACAATTTTTAATCAGTAATTTCACAATTTTCGAAAGCTTATTATTCGAAGGGTTTCATTAAACGTCTTCAAACTGTGTATACTTACTAATTTTGAGGTGGTCTTTTTGGTGCATGATTTGGTTCATTTCTTAATTTGGGTACTTTTTAACACTCGTCCCCAGTCAACTCATCAACTTCGGGGTGGCTAATTGATTAGAAAGCTTCATATATTCTAAAAACGAGGCAGAAGCGTACTGCTAATCAGAAGTCACTCCTTCACCGCTGGCCTAACAATGGACTTGTACCGTTGTACGCATCATTTCATTAAGTGAGTCAAGATGGAACCCCCAACAAGGGGATCCCATGAACACCATCCAAAGCCACATAGATTGCTAGTGTTCCACAAGTGTATTTGATATACAAAATATTTCTAAACAAATTGGTTAGCAAGTTTTAAACAGTTTGATTTAAACGAGGATTTTGCTCTGGTTAATTTGCATAGCTGCATGAGATCAATATTGAGAGCATTGTTAATTAAGGTCGTGTGACTCGTGTCACGTAAGTTCAAAACTTCGTGATTGTATAGTGGCGAAGTCCAACCCACTTCCTGGCACTCAAACTTCATAATTTAATACAGTACATCAGACGAATCAAAGGAAGTTCCGGCAAGGTGATTCATGACAGTTTGGTTAAGATTTAACACAGGCTATTGTAATGGCTCAGAGCTGGAACAAGTTGTTATCACCTTTTTACAAGCGTTGATGACAGCAACATACTTCCTACAAGTTGTTTCAACTAAATGTGGCCTTCAATCATTTCCCTTTTTCCACTCTTTGAGTGGGTGGAATAAATTATTTAGCCACCCTATTTCTCGTAAATAAATAAACTCAGTAATTGTAATTCAGTCTATGTAACTGCGAAAGAGTTTCAATAAACCATAATTATTATTATAAATAATAACGGTCCATGGTTATTATGGTCTCACCAAACAGTTTAATTGGCTGGATTGTTTGGTTTCACAGCTTGTCAACAAGATGTGTTCGCACTGCTTGTTCCCGTTGTTGACGAGACTTGCTCCAAGTCTCTCTTTCATTGTCATATCGATCCACTATAGTGTACATTACATGACGTAGCACGGAGAGGCGGAGCGAGAAAGAGAGACTTGTCAACTTCGGAAAATCTCGGTTCAAAACTGAGCCGAAAATGCAAGACTTGCTTTAATTGTTTTCCTTCAATTTCTTTCTCTATTATTTACTATAATGGAACTCATGTTATTTACATGTGCTAGATCAATACATATAAACACTGACAGAAAACAATTGAAGCAAGTCTTGCATTTTCGGTTCAGTTTTGAACCGAGATTTTCCGAAGTTGACAAGTCTCTCTTTCTCGCTCCGCCCCTCCGTACTACGTCATGTAATGTACACTATAATGGACCGATACCATACGACAATGAAAGAGAGACTTGGAGTAAGTCTAATTGTTGACAAGTCTGGAACAAGTTGATCCAACAAGTTGTTCCAACAAGTCTGATATCGTTTGCGAGTTGTTAACGAGTTGATGACAACAAGCTCGTAGCAACTTGTTATAACTAACAGCCTGTATTGGTCTTGTTGGAACAACGTGGCAAGTCTGTTACCGTCATCAACCTTGTGATAATAAGATGAACATGAGCAACTTTGTTGTCTCAACAGCTGGACACGAGCAGTACAAACACATCCTGATATCGGTTTGACAGTAACCTTGTTGGTAACCTTGTTGAATATTGAGCTCGTTGATAAAATTACAAGAGCAATAGATCAGGGGAAATACACTATTCAGGCCTTGATTTATCAAAAGCATTTGATACGATTAATCACAAGATTCTCATTAAAAAACTGGAATATTATGGTATAAGGGGTATATCCAAAGACTGGTTTGAAAATTATTTAAAGAACAGAAAGCAAATTGTAAAGTTTAACCAAATAAAATCAAAAGATATGACAATTACAAGTGGTGTTCCTCAAGGATCAGTACTGGGACCTTTGTTATTTCTTTTGTATATAAATGATATCCAGAATTGTAGCAATATTATTTCAAATATATTATTTGCTGATGACACAACCATATTTTATAGTCACGCTTGCCTTAAAACATTAAACCAAACAATACAAGAGGAAATAGATAAAATAGCTGTTTGGTTAAATATTAATAAACTATCTATAAATACAGAAAAAACAAAGTTTATTGTATTTCGTTCCTCGAGAAGGAAAAAACAAGAACATAATATAACAATTTATTTAAATAATAAAATTATTGAGCAAGTTAGAAAGACAACATTTTTGGGTATTGTTGTTGATGAATGTTTGACATGGAATGATCATCTAGAGCAAATATCAAAGAAAATTATAAAATCAACAGCAGTCATTAATTATAAAACTTGTTTGCATACCTGTAACAACTTGCGCGCTTTTCGCAACTAGTGCATGTTGTACCTTTCGCCTAGCTCTTCAAAAGAAGTTTTATTGGTGCAATATGAAATTGTTTAACTACAAATTCGCCTCAGTCAAATTCGAGAGTTTCCTATTTGACTCTACCAAACCCCGGAGGCTTTCCATTGAACTACCGTTTCCTCAAAATAAAAGACAACGTATAACTCCGAAAACGAATATTTTAATATTCTAGCTTTCCACTATAGCATATATAGTCATACGAACATTTATTGGGCCATAAATGAAGTTGAATATGTTGGAAAGAGACAGATAGTTAAAATCGAACAACTGGCGACTAAGCAAGACAACAATCACTTGAAACTCATTTTTGTGGCTCTTGCTAGATATAGTAAGTTTAATTTAGGCATCACTGTATGAATAAGGGATACTCCCATGCAGGCTTACTGGACCTCTAGCTACAGGAAGAACACGCATGTAATTTACATCTGATAGAGCTATTCAGTACAAAGTAAGTTAGTTTAATGAGTTGAGGTGTGGCGATAAAGCCAAAGGTTGGTAAAGCCATAATTAAGGATTATTATAATTAACTTTCAGCAAACCTACCAATTTTCAGCAAACCCACCTCAAACCTACCAACTACGAAATAATCATCAAAAGCTTTACCTACCAAAACCTAAGACGAATTTTTTAAAACGAAGCTTCTCCTATAGAGGAGCAGTTTCATGGAACTAAATTTTAATGGAAAAACTTCTAATTATAGAAATACCTGAAACTTCCATCAGTTCTTTTAAAAGACTAATAGATGGCTTGTGTTTTTGAATTGGGAGGTCATCCTGCTAAACCATACGTTTATGTAAATAGAGTATATTATGCATGATTGTTTTATAGTTAATAATTTTAATATTTTTATAATAATTTATAGTAAGTGTGCACGGCCCTTTGAAAAACAGACTCCTGAAAGGCTACCGTGACTAAATAAGCTTAAATAATAATAATAATAATAATAAAAAAACTTTATAGTAAAATGGGTTCGAGCTAGTATTATTTTTTCTTCTGGAAGTGCGTCCAAGGTAGCTATACCACTCTCGAAGACACCCAAATTTCCTAGACACACAAATTTCCCCTGCAGGATTTCCTGTTGAAATATACCTTAATGACGTTTCGCACGGTGAAAAATCATTCATTTGACAAAAAAAAACATGTTTTGAAAGGAAATTAAACTTTTGAGGGTTGAAAATCACACTTGGACTGAAGAGCTAGGGTGGAAACCTCCTTAATCGAGACACACCGGACGCGATTAGAATGCAACGCGACGCGATTAGAATGCAACGCGGCGCGATTTTTCAGTTTTTGAAAGTTAATAAAACAGCCAATGGAAGGAAATTTTAAAAGATATGTAGACCAAATAACTCAAAATGTTATAACGCTTCTAAATATTTGGAAAATTTAAACCAGGATCAAACGGTTATCGGTCATTGAAAATCGAAAAAATCGCGTCGCGTTGTCGAATCGCGCGTCCGGTGTGTCTGGACCTTTAGGATTATTACATTGGCAAACAATATTAGTCCCTCCCTTAAGAAAGACGTTTATATCCGCTAGTTCGGGCTGCCTCGTGCATAAAAGCACGAGAAAACAGGCCAGTTAACCAGAGGGAGTCAGCTATCACGATGAAGAGTTGGACAATCTTAGCCTTGCTGGTCACAATCTGTGCTGTGTTTGTTGGTGTTGGACACACCGAAGAAACTACAGATGATTTCAGAGAACCAGCTTTGGAAGATGCAGTGAATGAGGACGAATTGTAAGTTTCACCTTTTTTATTCAGTTTACTATCAAATGTTGTTTGTTGAAAAAATTGTTTGCATGCAAATATTTGAGATGAAAACTCAAGCTTTAAGCCGATTGTAAGTTTGTCATGTCTCATTACTTAATATGACAATCTCATTATTAAATGATAAATACGCATTGTAGCCATAGACCGATTCGAAAAATGGTTTTCGTTCTTTTTTCTCCCGATGTATAAGCACTGCCACCTTATATAGAATTCTTCAAAAATATCAGTTTTACAAAATATAAATATAATACCATTTGTTATCTTTGAGAAATTAAATCTTAAAAATTCCGCAGTTTCTGCTAGATTTAGCAAAGAAGACTGACTCGTTTTGCTGCTAGTATGAAATCGTTGGGCTGTTTATGAAACTCGTATTGTTTTTCGACTTCACATGATATAGATCTGATGATGACGATGACGGTGATAAAGAATCGGATCCCAACACTTTAGTTGAAACGTAAGTGAAGTACGATTTGTATTAACAGCTGAATCATGTCATAAGCCCCACATACCATATGTAAAGGCTAGTCTCCTTTCGGGAGGGTCTTCAGGATCGGGGTGGACGGGAGAGTTTTCAGTTTGTTTTGCGAGATTTCGTTTGGAACCTCTGGTTTCGAACTAAATGAATTTAATCAACACGAATGACGTGAACGTCGTGAATTTAACACAATGAAAGCTCTCCCGCCGTTTCTGTTCAGCGGAGGAGTTCTCAGTTCAGAGGAGTTCTCCCGCCGTTTCTGTTCACCTTTACATGCATGTTCAATCTGTCTCTTAGTTTACTTGACACGCCCAGTTTCAAGAAATAGAGCCACGTTTACTCAAACTCTCTGAAGCGGTGACTATTTTGAATTTCGAGTTTAACAATTCCATTTAATTTTTTGCTTGCCTGAATCCTTTAGCGAGTTTGAGTTCGCGATCTTCTATTTGTTATCATGATTACTATTTTGGAGGTGGGTGCCCTGCATGGGACCTTTTATAAGAGTCCCGTTCGTACCTTACCTTTTTGGATCTACATTTGATATCTAGGTTATTTTAACTTAATGTAATATTTGTTCTGTTATATTCTTTTGTTTGTTAAAAATTGTGAATATCGATCCAAATAAAATTTGTTAAATTAAATTAAATTTAATTAATACCATAATATACCATATACAATACCAAACCACACCATATTACACTACACTACACTACACCACACCACACCACACCCCGCCACCATATCATACATTGCCGTACTACACTTTGGCATATACCACAACACAGGCCATATACTACGCCACACCATAACCATGCAATACCGTACTAAACCGCACGATACACCATACCACATCACAGCATTGCTCACCACTAAATAATCGCAGCCTAAGGTCAGGTAATTCTTATATTCGGTAGTCAGACGGTTCATAGCTGTTGGAAACGTTACTGCCTGTAACTTGGTTTCAACTTGACCATAAATTGGATCAGTAAAAAAAAATTTCACGACCGCAACCGATCATATTTTGTCTTGAATTTTTGGGTTCTTGGGTATAAAGTGCATTCATTCTATAGGTCACACATTTTCTTAAAAGATTTTAACGTTATACCGATATACCGCGATATTTCAAAAACATCATAACCGGTATTGAAATTTCAATACCGCCCAACTTAACTGCAAATTCATACTTCTTGTAAATGCTTCTTGAAATTAGCTAGATTTAGAATACACCAGTGAAATGCTGCCTCGTCCCCAGGCGCTAATAAAATTTCATGCGAGTCACTATATGAAAGGTTTACATCAAGTAGTGCGTCACATTATAGGCGCGCAAAGGGGAGTGGAATATGAGCGGACGAGGCAGAGTGAAAAGGTAAATGCCATTAAAATTAATATATGTTCTCACATTTTAGAAAGAACACCCTAGAGAGTGTAAATGAGACGCCTTTAAACGCCTTCAAACGTTCACCATGGTGGGGGCGTAGGCGTCGTCACCATCATCACCATCACCACCACCACCATCATCATCATCACCATCACCGATATGGATATGGTAAATAGTCTTGGAGACGAAGGTATGTGCGAAATATTGATGATTTAACTGTTTTTATACAACCGGCCCCTGGCATTAAGTTAATATGTATATTTTCTTCTTCCACAGAATATTTAAACGGCGAAATCGTTATCACAGCGAAAGAAGCCAAGGAATTAATGAATCTTTTAACTCTCTTATCACATTTAAAATTAGTGTAACTTTGGCACAAGCGTACACCTAATCATAAATATTTGTATGTTTAGCTTTGTAATGTTAAGTAAGGTTTTATGTCATAAATAAATTGCATTTCCATTTCAAAAAATTGAGTCCATTTGGTGTTTTGTAAATGTGTTTAGTCCTCTTATCTTCTCGCAATCCGTTGATATCTGATGTCTGAGTCTTTGGTATCCGTTTATCCCGGTGTCCGAGTATTTGGTATCCGGTATCCGTCTATTCTGTATCCGTTTATTCGGTATCCGTTTATCCCGTATCCTTCTATTCGGTACACGTTTATCAGGTATTCAGTGGGGCGGATAAATGAAAGTGTTGCGCATTTTGTGAAGAAAGCACCATATAGACAGTTTTCGTGCATATACGTTTCAACTATACAACTTATTTTTTCTGTGAGCCACCTTGGAATTTTAAAATTTCTATGAGTAATAGAAATTTATATTAAAATGTCAGAAATTCAAAATTTTTAGCTACCGCGTTAATTTCGCAGATGCCTCCATATCTGATATTCATACTTTTATTATTCAGATTTATTATTATTATTTAAAAATATTTTAAAACGGTAGCTCTTCAGGGCTCGTAGGCACCTGCTTTTCAAGAGGCCGTTTATTACAAGTATTTACAAGCTATAAATATAAAAACACAAATATATACACAAAAACAGAGAAAACATAACGAACTTAATAATTGCATGCACTACATTTGTTTCTGAATATATCCTATTTCTATTTAAATATTTACAAAGTTACCAAATTGAATCAAGTGCCGTCAAGAATACGTTTAAATTTGTTAAGGCTAATGCCTTTTTCTGTTGCTGTAATTGATAAGTCATTCCAAAGGGATGCAGCTGAGTAACTAAAACTCTTTTTCGTAAAATTTGTTTCAGGTTTTCCAAGATCATAGTTGTTATTGTTACTTCTTGAATCATATCTGTCATTTATTCTTATTTTGAACATGTTAGAAATTGATGATGGCATTTTTTCGTTTCGTATTCTGTGCATAAAAATTGATTTATTGGTTTTAAAACGTTGGTTTAAACTTTAAGGCTGCCAGTCTAATTCTTTTAAAAGATCCTCAGAACTAACTTCATAAGTTTTACCAGTGATGATTCGGGCCGCTCTGTTTTGTAATTTCTGAAGTCTGTTTTTTTAGGTAATCACAACAGTTATACCCTATACTTGTGTCAAAGTTTACACATCCTGTCAATATGGTGCTTTCTTCACAAAATGCACAATACTTTCAGTTATCCGCCCCACTAATAGAGACCTTAAGATTGACGTTTACGGCAAACGTCAAACCGCTAGCGAAGTTTTTGATTTTACAACTCTATTATTATAGCTTTTACACCAGTTTTGAAATATGTTAAACTTATTAAACTTGTGCTCTTTAGCAATGATTTAAGAAAGAAAATTAACCACTAGTCATGCCATTCACCAAAGCAGTAAATTAACATTTGGCGTTTGAAGTTGACGTTTGGCGTATAAATTTCATGCTTTAACGACTACAAGCCCTCGTAGCAGTTCAAGCATGAAATCTATACGCCAAACGCCAACTTCAAACGCCAAATCTTAATTTACTGCTTTGGTGAATGGCATGACTAGTGGTTAATTTGCTTTCTTAAATCATTGCTAAAGAGCACAAGTTTAATAAATTTAACATATTTCAAAACTGGTATAAAAACTATTATAATAGAGTTGTAAAATCAAAAACTTCGCTAGCGGTTTGACGTTTGCCGTAAACGTCAATCTTAAGGTCTCTAATCTTATAAGGTCTCTAATACCTGATAAACGGCTACCGAATAGACGGATACCTGATAAACGGATACAAAATAGACGGATACCGGATAAACTGATACCGAATATAGACGGATAAACGGATACCAAATACTCGGACACCGGATAAACGAATAGCGGATACCAGATAAATGGTTGCCGCATACCGGATAAACTACAAAAATGGAATCTTTTTGCTTAATATTTTACTATATTTAAACTTTTGAAAATGGTGTCAGCCGTGAGGCCCTGGGACCGAGGATGGTTTTAAATCTTAATTTAGTCGTTAAATTAGTAAATTACGATTATGTCGATTAGCTCTGTCAGTCAATAGGGTGTCTCAAAGACACAGGGTGTCTCAAAAAAAAGAAAACTATTGAAATAACGTATTGTTAGAAATTGAATGCCTCAGCACTCTGCTGAACCCACAAGTACATAAAAGCTTGACATAAGTAAATTTTATGCCTAAAGAAACTGTTTAAGAAGCTGGTTTAAATTCCCAAGAGCAGAAAATCGTGCGCTTTACAAAGATATTTTAATTTCTTAATAAGTCAATATTTATAATACTGTACAGTGTGTATAAAAAAAAAGTACAGCCTTTCAAATTCTAATTAACGATAATTGTAAGTTCTTTGATTGTTCTCAACTACTTTGAGTTAATGATACGCGACGAAAACATGTCTTATTTACAAAAGAGATCAATTATAACTTCATTTTAATGCTGCTTGTACTGTACAGGGTATTTCATTGAGCTCCTAGACCAAAAAATATGTGACGTAATTATCAAAAGGGTGTATTGAATCGAAAGGGACTGAAATTGACGTCCAATAGCCCATCTTGGCTTCACTTTTAGAACTCGAGTTCTCAATTCAGATATACAGCTAATTCAATCAAGGTTACAAGATGTGTTTGCAATAGGATTGTAGCAAGCTTGTTAACAAGTTGTGACAATGCTGTTCCAACAACTTGTCAACAAGATGTCTCCCCAACAGGCTTGTAGCAAACTTGTTAACAAGTTGTGACAATGCTGTTCCAACAACTTGTCAACAAGATGTCTCCTCAACACACTTGTTGACAATTCTGTTCCAACAACTAGTCAACAAGGTATCTCTTCAACAGGCTTGTAGCAAGCTTGTTAACAAGTTGTGACAATGTTGCTCCAACAGCTTGTCAACAAGATGTGTCCTCAACAGGCTTGTAGCAAGCTTGTTAACAAGTTGTGACAATGCTGTTGTCTCTCTGAAGGTCAAAATCTTCGAGCAGTCGATCTGAAGGCATATTTTAACACATATACTGGGGGCCATTTGGCCCCCCAGGTCCTCCTGTTGGCCCCCCACTCATGCAAAATTGCGCCCCCTGTGAAATCATGAAATGTGAATGCAGTCTTTGTCTGTATTTTATCATAGTTAAAGAAAGTATCTGAAGAAATTTTTTAGGGATTCGTCTGGATGTTTGTAAACTTTAACTTTCATACAGTGGCTTTGAGTTAAAATATATGTTGAAAGACAAGCACATAGCGAGTAAAAGTGTCAAACATTAACTTTTTATAGTTTTCAGAATGATTTAAAATGCACCCCCAAAACGCACTAATTAGCAATTTTGGAGTCTCCAGATTTCAAAATTTGATTACACACTGTAGTATTTATGCTAATCGTCAAGTGAATTTAGGCCCCAGTTACACGATATCGGATTCGCATCGGAGCGACATCAAATTTTACTGCTTCGAGGTGAATTTGGCACTTAAAATTATGATAATATAACATAATTAAACAAAAACTTCATATATGAAAAGTTGTAATAGCATACAAGACTGGCAAACACCTTAAATCGCTCCGATACGAATCTGGTATTGTGTAACTGGGGCCTTAGTTCCCAAAGCAAACGAGTGAAGCAAGCTCACAAACAATTATGAATTACAAGGATTGTATGCAAATCCATTGTGCTTAGTGGTCGAGGGCTTTGACTTTGAGAGGACAACCTTAATAGACCTTTCCGGTAATTACGTCACGACTATAGGACCACCTTAAATGGAATGGATTTTAACTTTGTTTCTCACGTGCTATGGTCAGAGAAGCAGAACATCATTCTTCAACACATGCATAAAAAAGAATTTTGGATTTTGACCAATAAGTGTGGAAACAAGCTTAAACACGAAAACGAGGCTGAGGGGCCAAGAGGGGCCATGGCCCTTTTCTTGTTTAAGCTTATTTCCACATTTAATAGTTAAAATCCCAAATTCTTTTTTATGCATGTGTTCACGAATGATGTTCTGCTCCTCTGACCATAGCCCATGAGAAACAAACTTGAAATCTATTCCAGTTAAGGTGGTGCTAAGTTGAAAACAGTGTAGTTGTGACTTAATTACCGGAAAGGTCTATTGAATTAGCTGTATATGGAGGTCACTGGAACATCCGAAAGACGCAATGCTCTCAAGCATCTTATGAAACCCTCACCGCCAGTCGGAAAGAAACATCGCATTAAAATCAGCCTCAAGTACACTGTGAGTGTGCACCCAATTTTTTTTTGGCACCAGTTCGAAATGTGGGGTTTTTATTATCTTGTTATTACAAAGAGATATGTCAAAACAAAAGCGACTACTTCAAGTAACAAGAAAAAAATTAATTTCATGTTTTTTCCGGAGGATCTTAGTGTCATGCAAACTAAAACAAATTTGCATGGTGCAAAGGAGGGGCCATTAATATGTCTATATATTTAACTTTGGAACAAATGAAAAAAAAGGGTATATATTTAACGTTATCTAAAGTGCATTGCCATTCATTTGGGTATCTTGGTCACTATACCACTGGAATTAGTTGAAAAGAGTATGGAAATCCAATTTTTATACCAATTGTAATTTCCATACTATGCATGATATAGTATGGAAATAGCATAGATATACTATGGATTTTGCAATCGCAAGTTCCATAATATGATTTTTTTTCCAGTGTACAAGCATAAAAACCTCGCGGTTGTCAACAATTGGATGTGTTCGCCATGCTTGTTCCCAGTTGTCGACAAATCTAGAACAAGTTGTTAACATCTTGTAACAAGAGGCCACGCAATAAGTTGTTCCAACAAGTCAGTTGTTCCAACAAGTTTTATGTATATTTATAATATAGCATTTGTAAATTCTGAACCCTGCATGATTGGCTAAAAGCCGTGTTGATATAACTCGGAAACGTCGGAAAATTTCTTTCTTTATGTTTCTTTGTTTCCACTCGTATTGATATAACTGTATATCAACACGGAAAATGTTTTATATTTGTTAAATAAAGGCAAATTTAGGTTGCACTGTGTAAATAAAGCATAAAA